TACCAGAATGGAACGTGGAAAAGATGCATTGTATATAGATTTAAATTTCTGAAAAAAATTTGATGAAAAAGCTGCAACTCCAATAAGTTACCGTTGGTGTTGCAGAGTATTTGACAAAGTCACCGTTGTTGTGATCTATAAAATAAACCAATCTTTTAATTTCACTATATTATTAGAATTTCTATCTTCAGTTTGACAATATCCTTATAATTTCTATTTTCCTTGTGAGCTTCAGTGTATATTCTCTCTTTCTCAGGTTCAGTGTATATCATTACAATATATTTCACTGCCTGAGTTGGATGTTGTATCCTACTGAATTTTCTTCAAACTATGGAAAATTTTGAAATGTTTGAGGAATCACAAACTTTAGAGCACAACACTAATATTAATTTATTTCGGAAACTCGATCTGTTTCTCATGGTAAAGCATTCACAATAAGGTCCAAAGAAGAAGACAAATCAATGGAACATTTGTGTTTTGAATGCATCTTTTCGAAACATATTTGGAGGGCCTCGAGATTAAATTTCAATTTCGAAGTGGGTCAGAGTACTTCAGTGGAGGATTGGATGACAAATTGGCTTAAAATCACACCGGATGATGAGGTTATAATTGAATCAATTAAAGTGTTATGGGGAATATGGTTGCATAGAAACAAGGCAGTGTTTGAACAAATTGTGGCAGATCCTAGTACAGTGGTGCACACTCTTAACCAGATGAAGTGGGAATACAACAAATTAGCAAACAATTCTAAATTGGGGTCCATTTCATGCAGATGACTCCACCAAAGATATTTTTGTCTCTGCTAACAATGCAAATTGGTGTAAACACCCTTGCTTTGACAGGTTCTTGATTGATGGAGCATTAGCTACGATTTTGTATTCTGTCGACCTCGGCTTAAGATAATAAACGAAGCCTTTTTCCTTCAGGTTAAGGGGGCACATGGTATAACAGTACTGGATGTCGGCAAGGGTGTTCCTAGCATTCTCCTGCCTAGCTAAAATTATGATGCCATTGATCACTCGATAAGAGTTTACGGCAAGTTGCATAGGGTTCAACTTGTAAAAGTGAAGAATTTCGCGAAAGAGAATGTTAAGTGGGAGCCGGAGTTCGCACTCAATAAAAGCTACTATAGGAAAGGGCATTGAATCATCTGTGGGCATGATAGAGTCATTATCTTCAGCCAGCCTCAGATGGACATCGGCAGGAATAGAAAACTCTTGCCTAAAATACTCAAGTTTGGTCGGGGTGTCTACCCTATGTCTCCACATACCCATAACGTCGGCCTAAAATCAGAGGGCTAGGTTTCAGAAAGAAGGTGCTCTAAAAGGGGTTATCAGGACCTCAGCGAAACCCTAGATATATATTGGTTGGGATTGTTTCAGTTTTTTCCTAAGAATTGACAGGTTCTATAGACAAATCCCAAACCTAAAATTATGGGGGCAAAGATTGAAAGAGGGCAGAGATCTGGCAAAGACACAAAAAACAGAAAGCAAAGGCGAAATTTCAGAAACAAGAACAGGAATGGGCTATCAAGAACATGAAGAATACAGAAGTAAAAGGTCAAGAACAGTGGCAAGAAGAGTGTTGAAACAATGCAAGTGTTCCAAAATATGAGTAAAATCATGGAATAAACGCATCGAGATGAATAGTTCAGCAAATCAAATGTTTGAACAGAGCAATAATGGCAATAACTAAACAAAAACACATAGAAGAAATTGGGAAAGAGAGGAAAGAGGCTTACCAGAACAAATGAAGCCGGGATGAAAGTCGCCGAAGTAAAGCAACGGTTGTAGACACGACGAAACGACGAAACCCTCGCTGAAATGGAAGAATGAAGACGGTTGCAGAGCTTGAAGCTAGGGCAATGGCGGATTTGGGAGAAAGAGAAAAATCCAGAGAATCAAGAGCAAAAGTAAAGAAACGAAGAAAGAAAGTAAAATTTTGTAAAAAAACTTGAAACGGCGGCAAAATAGGGCATTTATTGCGCCTGGAGGAACGTATGCGTCAGACAGCGCAGACAAGTGAAAGACGACTTACAAGTGCGTCACAGACACGGGCCAATGGCAATAGAACACGTAAGGGGAACGGTTGAGAAGAAATGCATGACAGCTCATGCGCGTGAGGGAATTTTGTTTGAGTTCTTGTTCTCCAAAGAGAACACGTCGGCCTGAAATGAATGATCTCGGCTAAACAGTTTTTAAGCCCGTATGCAGAAAGAAATATCGATATAGGTTCCATCACCTCAGGATACCGAGGTAATAGGACCTAGGGGGCAGTTGTGGGGATATATTTTCTGAGTACCAACACGTGGCATGGTGACGCCGACGTGTCAGCCAAGGTGCCACGTGTCGTGGTAGTTATGCCGAGGTTATCTTGGCAAGGCCGAGGTTATCTCCAAAGATATCGAAATTCGAGATAAGCGGATAAGGGACAAGAGTCCTAGAGTAAAGAGAAGACTTTGCTAAGATAAGGATAAAGCTCTTAGGAAGTTTATCTTTATCTCTTGAGGAATCCAAAGTAAGTACTAAATTGGAGTCCATAGAAGTCAGGCTTCTAGTAGGACTTGGATTGAATAAACTATAAAAGAGAGGCACCCCCATGGGTCTAAGGTACACAGTTTTATACTCAAGCTTGTGAGTTTAGCACTTGATTATCTTTGAGAGATATACAGACTTGATCGTCGGAGTGCCCCTGGGTGGAAGAGCCACCGCCGGAGCCTTTTCTTTCTGTTACAGGTTTGCTGAAGCCATCTATTCTGCCGGTGCTCTCCAGCTGATTACTAGGCGGGCAGTGTGGTCAGAAAATTACCCACACAGTTAATGTTCAAATTTTATTAATGTTCAAATGTTAATGTTCAAATTTTATTAATGTTCAAATGTTAATGTTCAAATTTTATTATTTTTGTTTCTAAAGTTGTGTATAAAGAAAGCTTTTCTAAAGTTTCTCCCATTTCATTGTCTTTACTTTGCAGTTGTGTTTTGATATGGATATGGAAGCTGACAACGATTGTGGTTGGAAGCCAAAAGAAGGAATGACTTTTGATTCAGAAGAAGGTGTGTATGATTTTTATAATGCATATGGAGCAAGAATGGGGTTTAGCATAAGAAGGGAATATTGTAAGAAGAACAAGGTTACTAATCAAATTATTTCTAGAAATTTGGTTTGCAACAAAGAGGGATTTCGGAAGGTTGACAAGCGAGACCCATTGACAAAAAATCCTAAAGCTGAAACTAGGATTGGTTGTGAGGCCCGTCTTTTTGTTAAATTGGATGTCAGTACTGAGAAATTTGTTGTGATTGATTTCAAAGAAAAACACAACCATCAATTTGTATCTCTAGATTGTGCCCATATGTTGCCATCGCAGAGAAAGATATCACCTACCCAAGCAATTGAGTTAGACTTAGCGTCACAGTCTGGTCTTCGTTTAGGGCAATCTTTTGAACTCATGGGTAGGGAAGCTAGTGGGAGGCAGTCTCTTGGGTTTCTCAAAGTAGATCAAAAAAATTACTTGAGAACCAAAAGACAAAAAAGTTTAGCATATGGGGAAGTAGGTAATGTCTTGCAATAATTTCAACAAAAATCTGTGGAGAATCCATCTTTTTTTTATGCTTTCCAGTTAGATAATGAGGAGCAAATAATGAATATGTTTTGGGCCGATGCACAAATGATCATGGATTATGCCCAATTTGGCGATGTAGTTACATTTGATACTACCTACAAGTTAAATAAAGAGCATAGGCCATTTGCATCTTTTGTGGGATTTAACCATCATAGAGAAACAGTCGTTTTTGGTGCAGCTTTGTTGTATGATGAGACTGCCAAAACATTTGTATGGTTATTTCAAACTTTTTTAGAGGCTATGTCAAAAAACGCACCAAAAACTTTGTTTAGCGATCAAGATGCTGCAATGGCTAAGGCCATACCTATTGTGATGCCTGACACGAGTCACCGTTTGTGCACATGGCATTTGATGCAAAATGTATTAAGGCATGTTAACTGTCTCTTTCAAGATAAAGGGGTGAAAGGTGTGTTAAATAAATTCTTGTTTGACATTGAGGATGAAAATGAATGGAAATTGAAGTGGGGGGAAATGCTTGATGCATATGATGCTCATGATAATCATTGGTTAATGTTGACTTTTGGGGTGAAGGAAAAATGGGGCTGGGCATATGTTAAATCAACACGGGCTGCGGGAATGAGTACGACACAACTCAGTGAATATTTTAATGCGTTTTTGAAGGATTACATTCGTTCTGATTTTAATTTAAAGGAATTCTTCATGCATTTTGAAAGGGTACTTTCTGAGAAGCGGTACAAGGAGTTAGAAGCAGGCTCTATATTGTTTCCTACTCTTTATAGTCATGTCTTTGAGCTCCCCATTCACGATAATTACTTCTTTAAGAGTAGACAAGACTTCCATGCGTTCTTCATCGATATCATTCTCGACCACCTTCAAATTATGCTGCATATGTGGAGGGATCCACCACTGAAAGAAGTTACAACCATTCGGATAATTGTGGCATACAAAATAAAGGCAATTTGGATTATCCGTTGACTGAGAAATCTTCACCATAGCTTTTCTGCCACATCGACAATTGTGGTTTTCAAATCTAACTTCATGCATGTTGTTCATACTTACATTTGTGCTTCACATTGACATTGACCCACAAAAAAGAGGTTCACATGCATATGTTTATCATACACAATAAAAAAGTTCAATCTAAACACCAAACCCTGTGCACTTGTAAAGTGGAAATGAGTCCCATTAATCTGAACAATAATCTGAATGTTTACAATAATCTGAACACACTGATTTTGAACACACTGATTTTCAACAGATTCTAAATCACTCTAAAATGATTAATATGTTCATATAACTATCATTTATAATTAATATAAATGGAAACATCAAATCAATTCAAAATAACCAGAAAATGATACCAAACTAAATTTGTCTAAGACATTGTTAGCTCTGATTCAAGAACCATAATTCAAGCACTTTCAAATTTATTCATTCAAGCACTGATTTAAATTATTTTCCTATAGTGGGCCAGTGCTTGAAAAGTGTTGAAGATAATGTATATATTCATCCATTCCCTCTATTTTTAAAAAGTGTTCTCTATACAATTTCCTGAAAGATGCACACAACACATAATCAAATATATATATATATATATATATATTTTAATGAACCATTATGAGCATGTAAAGAAAAAAAAAAACAATGGCAGATGGACAGTGGTATATATATATTATATACATTATGAGCATCTGAAATTTGAAAATCCATAGCTGTGTTTACAGATCTAAAATGGACAGCTTTTTTGTTTATATACATTATCAACTCCTCATTTTATGTATATATATACATTATATATGTATATGCATACATTATATATGCATATGCATTGCAAGCCCCAAATCAAAGTAAAGCCCCAAATAAAAGCCCTAATTTTTTTTCTTGCAAATCTGCTTTAGTTTCTCAACCTGGTGGTCGCCGGTGAGGAATGGCAGATGGACGATGGTCGCCGGTGAGGAATGGTGGCTGGTGGTCCAACAACGATGGCAGATGGTGTCTCCTCTCCCTCTCCCTCTCCCTCTCCCTCTCTCTTTTTTTTGTTTACAGATTGAAAATGAGGAGCTCTGTTTTGTGGGAAATTTGAAATTTGTGTTTTTCTTTTTTTTTCGTTGATCTGCGCCGTTCTTTTTGAGTGGGGTGACGTGGCAAGATCCAAGCCATTGACCGGAGGACCGGTTGGAAACTTTGGCTGGAGAAGATCCGGACTCCTGCTGGTGAGGGTGACACAAAGGACAAGGTTACTGCACTAATTGATATTGATTTGACAGATTATAAGTTTTTGTTTGAGGATAATGTAACCTTTTATAACAATCAACTAGGTTAGGTCTAATTAATCGCCATGTCTTTTTCAAAATTTAATTCTTAAGGAGGTCATGAGTTCAGTTCTTTCTAGGTGTTTTGTCAAGAGTGTAAAGATTTTCTTTCATTGGTGCTAATCTAACAATTAACAACTAAGATAGCGTTTGGTTAAGTTTTGACATAATGATTCTAATAAAAAAAAATTAAAATTTTTTTCAAAACTCATAATCAAACACTCAATTCAAGACTCAAAACCAAATTTTTTCAAAATTCATTTCAAAACTCTATTATTAAAACAAAAGAATATTTTTTTATTTTTTTCTTTAAAATTATTTTTTTCAGAAAATATATTTTTTTTATTTTTGAAGAAAAATATTTTTTATTTTTTTTATTTTTTTGAAAAAAATATTTTGTTATTTTTTTAAATATTGGCCAATTAATTTGTTATGATTTAGATATATATGGGTGATTCAAAAAAAATTAAAATTTTAAATATTTATAAAATTAAAATATTTAAAAATAAAATAAAATATTTAAAATAAGAAAGTATTTAAAATAAAAATTATATATTTAAAATAAAAAATTTTAAATTTTAAATATTAAAAAAAATATTTATAAAAAAAATGCAGCCCACAAAAAATACATTAAAAAAAAAATTACAATATAAAATATTTACTCTAGAAAAAGAAATCTAAAATAATTTTAAAATATAATTCAAAATCATAACCAAATAAATTTTCTTTTTTCAAAACTCATTTAAAAAATTTATCTTTCAAAACACAATTCATACTCAAATCATGATTTTTAAAACTATTAAAGGGCTCCATAAAAATTTTTTTTACCTTTTACGACATGTTGGACAACCTATTGATGTGAATTAAAGTCCTACAAAACAAGTGCAAAACAATGATATCGCTCGAGGGCTCTACTGAAATTGATGACATTGGCTATACAGTGGGCACTTCTGAAAATGATCACAGCTGAAGCAACAGTGATGATTCTAGTTGGTTTTTTTTGCCTTCGTTTGGGAATGCCAAACTTGGGCTTTTTTAGACTATTTTAATCACAAAAAATAAAAATAGATTTTTTATCTCAATAAAATAAAATATCACATTTAACCTATTCTTTTTAATCATTACATTCTTTTCACAAAAAAAGTTTAAAAAGTCAAAAAAAATCAAAAATCCTTCTCAAATTAAGCTTTTTAACCCCATGTTAAAATAGCCAAAAAAATTTAAAAAGTTAAAAAGTCAACCCATTTCACAAACGAAGACTTTAAGGGTGTGTTTGATTGGGAGGATAAGGGGGGGACTATCCACTGTTTGGACTCCATGTCCGGCCTCCCTCCTATCCGTCGTTTGATTTTTTTTTAATCCGGCGGACTCCATGTCCGCCGGACTCCATGTCCCCCATATGGGGAACTATCCTGTCCTGGGGGGGTGGGATTGTTTTGGGGGGACTAATCACTGTTTGGATTATATGCGAAAATGACCATTTTGACCCTCTACTATTTAATTATGTATTATATTTAATAAAATTTAATAAAATTTAAATGTCTCAATTTAAAAATAAAATTATTTTATTTAACTTTTTATTAATGTTTTATTTATTTAATTTTTTAAAATAATTTTTTTATAGATATTTTATTGATGTTTTATTTTAAAATTTTGTTTATGTTTTATTTAATTTCATTGTTTAAATTTAATAGATGTTTTAATAGATGTTTTATTTAAACAATTAAATGTTTAATTTCAACAATAAATAATTTCATTTATTTAAATTATGTTTTATTTAAACATTTAAATATTTGTACATCAACATGTTTATTAAATTATTTCAACATCTGTACATCAACATGTATATTTATTTAACATCTATTAAATTATGTTTTAATACGTCAACATTTGATTACATCTACATTTGTTAATTGTTAATTACATCAACATTTGTTAATTGTTTAAACATAATCTATACATCAACATTTATTTAATTGTTAATTGTTAATTGTTTAAACATAATCTGTACATCAAAATAATTTCAATGTTAATTGTTTAAACAAAAATTTAAACATTTAACCATTAGTATGTTTAATTTCAACAATAAATTTTTATTTGTTTAAATAAAAATAATCTGTACCAGTCAAATTTTTTTATCAATTTAGTATGTTTAAATATATTTAAACAAAATTTAATCATTAGTATGTTTAATGTTTAATTGTGTAAATAAACAAACACAGTAAAGTTTTGCATGTAAAAAAAATAATGATTTGTTATACAGTAATGATTTAAAACAAATTTTATTGATATTTTATTTATTTATTTATTTAATTTAAAAAAAACGAATTTATTTAATTAAAAATAATTAAAATATTAAAGATATGTTTAATATTGCTATTACTTAGTAAACAATTGAAAAGGGTAAAATAGTCTTTTGTTCATTTATCCTATCCAGTCCGTCCAACCAAACATTGGATTCATTGAAAATAGTCCTATCCAGACATCTAATCCCATGAAAAAACAAACACAGGATACATATCCAATCCGACCAAATAGTCCGGGGAATTCACAGTCTCAGGACTCAAGTCCGATGAATTCTAATCTCCCTTTTTCAGTCCGTCCAATCAAACACACCCGAAGGATCTAGAAGGTCCAGGAAAGGAAAACATTTTTCCCACAAATGATGGTAACCAAGAGGGTCAACATGAGAACATAAATGAGGCTGAAAATAATGCATATCATGGTGAAAATAAAGCTGATTCAGAATTTGATGAGGATGTGACTGGGAAATGGTTGTCTGATGCAGAAAATGATGATGGGACTTGGTAGTTTGAGAGGTTCTTCAGATGAGTAGAGTACTGGATACCCTGAGTATAATGATACCGTGTTGAGGAATCGAAAACTTGTGGTAGTGATGAAATTCCCCTCACTCACCTCTAGCCTTTGGAGAGTTGTTAAGGGAGTACAATGTGCATCAAGGGTAGGATATCAAGTACATAAGAAATGAAAACAGGAGAATCACATTCATTTGTAGGTATGGCTATGACTGGAGGATCCATGCTTCTTCAACTGGGAAGACTAATGTTTTTCAAATCTTAACATTGAAGGTGTTAATGTAAATTGTAAATAGTAAACCTACTCCACTACCGCCCACTCCACCTACCATCTCCACTACCACCCACTCCACCTACCACCTCCACTACCACCTACACCTACCACTACCACCTTCACCTACTCCCAAATCATCTCCTATATAAATCCTTGTAATATACCTTGTAATATACAACAATATATAACAATCAATAATACAATTCTCTCTATTTCTCTATACATTAATTTTACATGGTATCAGAGCTATAAGATTTAGGCCTGTATTTTGTTTTCTCACCGGCGGGCAGCCGGCGGGCAACCTTGCCTTCGCTACCCGCTGGAATTTTCTACACATACCTTCACTTTCCTAATGCTGTACCTCCACAACCGGCAGACACCACTGCTGCAACTCCACGACTGAGCTACCATACAGCCTCCAAACCGTGACCATGCACACATGCACAACTTCTCTCTCTCTCCCCCCTAAACACTCACCACACCACTTCGGTTCATCCTCATTCTCCTCCGCTGGTGCCTTCGCCAGATCCGAGAAGATCATCGAGATCTGAATCATATTTGAGTCCTAGGCCG